GGAATGGCCGCCTTCAGCAGATTTCAAATACCACTCAAATGCCTTTTTTTCATCCTTTATAGTGCCTATGCCTTGACGATAGCAGAATCCAAGATTATTTTGTCCACCGGAATGGCCGCCTTCAGCAGATTTCAAATACCACTCAAATGCCTTTTTTTCATCCTTTATAGTGCCTATGCCTTGACCATAGCAGAATCCAAGATTACATTGTCCACTGAAATCGCCGTCTTCAGCAGATATTAAATAGAATTCAAATTCAAGCTTTTTATCCATTGTAAAATGAATAAAAGTATTCGTAGAACACTTGTTCTAATTATAGTAAAAAAAATTTCTTTTGAAATTTTATGCAAGGAATGTAACATAATGCTGTGACACACTAGGTTGTTACGCAGTAATTAAAAAAAGACATAAGAACATAGTCATTCATATTGTTTTTTTATACGTAAGCAAATTATTTGTACGTATAATAAGGCTATACAAACTGGTATTTTTGGTTCTCATAACAGGCCAGGTCAAAATTTGCAAATCTTTTAACTATATTTACTATCCGGGTTGGTTTTTTTTCAAAAATCTGTAAAAAAAAAATTATATGTTTTTTATATATATAATTTTTTGAAAATAAAATTAAAAGCTGGGTCTCCGGGCCATTTTCTAAAATGTTATGAGAACCAAAAATACCAGTTTGTATGGCCTAAACTAAATTCATATTTTTTTTGACGTAAAATATCTAATAAAGTAAATTTTTAGTATAAAAATTAATACTATTAATGCTATATAAATATTAAAGATAAAAATTTTTTTAAAAAAAAATAAATATTAGAGCTAGTTTAAAGCTTTTAAATTAAAAAAATTAAGCATTTTGTAAAATATACTTAAGTCAAAAAATGTGAATTTAATTTTTAATATAGATTGGTTTGATATTATATAGATTATTGTTTTTAATTAATTTGTTCAATTATAACGTTTAGAAAAAGGACTCAAAACTTTATTATGATAACCTGTTTGGACATTCTTAGCATAAATGTCTAAAACTAAATAAATAAATATTTTTTATTTGAATAGCCTTGACAATCTTGGGCAAGGTCAAAAAATACAATATTGCTCTAAATTGTATAAATTCAGTTGAATAAATTTGATCAATAAAGAAACTTATCCGATTTTTTTAATTGCTAACTTAAACATTAAGGTTTTCTCATGATTAGCATTTAAAATGACTATATTAAGTCGATTTCCTGTAAAAAATATCCTAAATTTTTCTGGAATCCACATCTGTATTTATAGATCATTAGAACTCCGATCCGAAGATGATTGGAATTAGAGAGAGAAAAAGAAATACAAGGACAACCACATAAGGAGAAAGAACAATCAAACACTCACCTAGGAAGACCCAAGATAATCCAGGAATAGCCTTAAAACCCCGGACCAAATCTTCCACGCCCTCTTTCAAGCCTTCCATTTAGGGTTTATTGTTGGATATTCGGACCCAAGCCATCGTGTTACATAACCTCCGGACAAGTTCGGTCTAAAAACCCAGTTAGACCTTTTCAACGATCATCTTAAGATAATCATAATACTTTCCAAAGTAGGAAAAAAAATAGGTGAATGAAACTTTCACATTTTCATAACCACCGAAAATTTTCGCCTATTGTGTATTATACATCAGAATTTACATGGTTCTTTCAACAAATAATATCTGATACAGATATTGTATACTAATTGCAAATGTTGACATAACATAATTGCGTAATTATTATACAAAGATGTTTGTTATGAGAGGCTATGCATGAGGCTTGTCATAAATAAGTAATAAAAATTTCTTCCTACGCCGAAAGAATTTTATTTCAAAAACTTAAATAATTATGATTATTCTGGTTATCTATTATTAGATTGTACTACGTACAATAAACATTATGCGTTATATTTTATATAATCTATAAGTTTAATGTAAGTTTAGTTTTTTTTTTTTTTAGAAAAATGAGTGAGATAACAATACCGATACCATTATTATCAAAAGATGAAGAAGAAAAAGAACAAGTTATAATCCCAATTAACATCTTACCACATAATGGAAAAGAAATAACTCAAATTGTTTGTTCACCGAATATGAAATATGTTGCAACTTGGAGCAAATATGATAAGTCAATTTATGGGTGGCCGGTTGTAGAAGGGAAGCAACGATTAGACTTTGATAATTCAATTTCTAGTCAAGATCTTAAAGATATACCAGTTCATGTTACTAGTAATGATCTTAGGGATATACCAGCTCATGCTATCAATTATGTTGACGATTTTTCTGTTATTTATTCTTTAGTTGGTGTCTCTGAAAATAAACATATCGTATTAAAATTTAAGAGATATTGTTATGTTGGTAAGTTTCTTTTATTACTTTAAATTATTGTCGAGGCTGAAGCTAGAAATTAAAGGTCTTGGTTTGAAAAAATAAAACCTGCTAATTCTAAACCTAACAATAAAAAAAAACAAAAAAATGCATCCAAAATTTTTGAAAATTTCATATTAAAATATTTAAATTTCCTGCTTCAGTCGAGACAATTATTATTAACTATGAATATGTTGGCAATTAAATATATTTTTTGGATTGTTTTTTTATATCAACAGAAGAATATTTGGATACATTTTATTTTGAGGAGGTTACCGGAATCATCGATCTAAAAACAAAATTATTACAAAAATTTAATGCTCAAGGTTTATCTAAACTTTTTACTTATGAAACAGTCCGTTTTCTTGAAAATGGTAATTTAACTATTGTAAAAGGAGATCCAATTTATCGAGCTTACATTTTTTCACATACAAATTCTAATGATGAATATCAGTGGAAATGTATAAATGTTATCGATCTCAAAGATTTTTACAAATGTTTCGTTCTTCCAAAAGGAAAGTTATTACTTTTATCAGAAATACCTTTTGTAATCTCACAATGGGATTTGAAATCTTTAAAATTTGAAGCTCAATATGTATTAGATTTGAATGTGTTTAAAGATAAAGATTATATAGATTTACAATTGAATATTGATAACACATTATTAGCAGTATTTAATCATAAGCAAGATGCTATTAATCTTTATTCAACAAGAACAAGTATTATGATCTCGAAATGTATGTATCATCCCCTTGTATATTCTGCATATGAATTTATAAAGTCAACCATGGTTTAATTTATAATTTTTTTTTTAAATAATTAATAATATAGATGTATTCAAAAATAAAAATACGTATGGAATAATTGGTGTAAATTTTATTTCATCAAAGAATAAAGAATACTTGCTTGTTAAATTTTATAAAATTGTTTATATTCTGGTTCCATATTCCAATCCCGTAGATGCAAGTAAATTATTACAACTTAAATTAGATGACGATCTGAATAGTCAAGACGAAAAATACCTATATCCTAATGCTATTACCTCTGATTTTATTGTGGGTGTCTGGAATAAAAATTTATGGATTCAATGTCTAATTCGAGAGACTAAAGAATGGACTGATTATTTGCATCAAAATTTCAATGATTATAATAAAATTCATACTTATTTCTGTACAAATGAAATAGAAAACATGATTAAAACTACTTTGACAAAAGTTAAATCTTGTTTAGCAAATAATTCCATTAGAATATTAACAAAAAAATTTCTTGTTGGATACGTATATGCTTGGATCGTTAAGGAGACCGAAGATCATATTTATCTAACAGCCTGGAAGTTTAATCATAAAAATTCAGTATGGAATAAAGTTGGAAATATGATACAGAGTTATCCATCTGAGCTTAAACAGCTTTCTAGTGGAGATTTAATGGCAATTTCAATAAGAGGTATATTCATTTGGACAGCATGTGGGAGTGATAAAATAAATTTAAATTATTATTGGGGTTCTATTGATATCACTAAACCTAATCAAATTTATTATAAATCAATCATTGACCAGCTTGATTTTCTTAATGATAAATTGGTTTTTTCACAAAATTATTTTCCTCCACCAAGTATCGATCAATTAGTCTCTCATCCGTTGCTTGCTTGTCATATGGACATAATAACTAGAGAATTGTTTTTATTTGATGATTTATTAGAATATTACATTGATGATATGTTCTTTTTATCATTATACGGAACGATCATAATTAGAGAATTAATTAAAAGCAAAAAATATGAAAAAGTTGGGAAAACATTTTATTATTTTCTTGAACAGGCTTTAGAATCAATGCGAGATGGAAATATTTACACATTCACAGAATTAATTGATAACATTTCAGCCTTACTTTTAGATTTAGAATTCTTTGATGAAAATTTTGGTTTTGCAGATCACTATTTATCAAAAACTGCATTATTACTTCCTGATCATTTTGAAGAAGTATTTTTAAGTACTAGTTCACTCTCACACCTTACGTATTGTGGAACCTATGTCCACTTATTTAACACAGACATTTTCAATTTTTTATATATTTGTATAGTTCAATATTGGGGATTTTGTAAAGCCAAATATCCACTATTTGGTAAAATTGTTAATTCGTTTTATTCAACTTATTTTATTTCATATCCTCGACCAACTGTCAAATTAATGGTTCCTACGGCAAATTTTGCTACTTATTCTAATGATTATTCTACGTGGGAAGAATTAATTTGTCCACCAACTAATTTTTTTATTTCTTTAAATTCACCTGATCAATTTAAATGGTGGAATATTAAAGCTCTGATCAACTTTAAGTGGAACACTTATGGAAGATTTTATTATTACGTAAATTGGATTATTTATACGGCATTTATGTTAAGTTTTACCATTATAGCAACTATACCACCAGATACGATAACTTTGGTTCATTCTCAAGTTTATCAAACAATATCAATTATTCTTGGTTTCTTTTTTCTTACTTTTGAAATTCGTCAATTCTTATTTGACCCTTCTACTTATCTTTATAGTTTTTGGAATTGGATCGGTAATATATAATTTATATAATTTCTTTTATTAACTTTCAATATATTAATTTGGTTTATTCTTTTTTTTAAAAAAAATTTTTTTTTAGACATTGCTTCATTATCATTTCCAACTGTCACTTCAATTCTATGGATGATTGATAAAAATCCACCAGTTTGGTTTCTCACTTTAACTGTTCTTTTACTTGAACTTAAATTTTTATTTTATCTTCGCGGTATTGAATATTTTGGAATTTATTTCGCAATTATGGTTGGCGTAGCACAACGAATTTTTTCATTTATTGTAGTTTTAGGAATTATGGTTTTAATATTTGCACATTCTTTACATTTATTATTAAGACCTACCTCTAATTATTCTTATAATCAACCAAGTTATACTGATGATGTTAATAATCCTTGGAATTTAGCTCCTAGATATCAATCTATTTTATCTAATGGTACAATTGAAAATGAATCTTCTCTTATTGAAACTCCAGATGCGAATACAAATCTTTTTGCACTATTTAGTACTGCAATTGTTGCTGTTTATTTCATGTTAACAGGTATATTTTTGTTTATAATTATAAATATATTATTTAATAATTTAATAAATATAATTTTTTTTTTTTTTTTTTAGGAGATTCAAGTTCAGTTTCTCCTTGGGTTTTAAAAGATAACCCGACATTAGTCTTATTATTAGCCATGTTTTCTTTTTTTACAACAATTTATTTGATGAATTTATTTATTGGATTACTTGGCATGGCAATTAATGAAACAAATAACGTTGAATCATTTTTGCAATTAAAAGGAGAGGTACATTTTTGGAAAAAAAAATTGTGCTTAATAATTTTATTATTCTTATTAAAACTATATTTTTATTGGTATAAAGGTATTGGCAGAAATTGAACTTTTTTGGATGTTACCTTATCAAAGAAGAAGAAAAGATTGGTTTCCTGATATTTTGTAATTATTTCATGAAACCTTATTTTTTTTTTGGATTTATATAATTAATTAATTATTTTAAGTATTTTAGATATTATGAAGCTTCAATTGAAGAACTTCAAAAATTTGTTAAAGAGGCACAAGATGAAAATCAAGATACATTTCCATCTTATCTGTCTGATTCAATTTTTAGGATTTCAGGAGTTGACAAACCACTTGAAAAAAAGACTAAAGATATTGAAATTAAAATTGATAAATTTGAAGAAAAACTTGACAAAATTATTAATACGCATAGGTTTGATGAAAAACTTAACAAAATTCTTGAAAAGTTAAATTCGATTTCAAATTAAATTAGAAAATTTGTATAGAATAGATTATAATTATGTATAAAATTTTTCAAATAGACAGACCTTTTATATAAGCATTTATTGTTAATCTCTTTTTTTAACCGTATTTGTGATGAAAGTAAATTAAATGTACAATACCTCATATTAAATACTTATATTCACATTTTACTAATATGCTGGTATTAAAATTTCATTTCAAACTTTTTTATATATGGTATTAAAAAAAATTCATGCGCGTTAAACAAATTAATTATTATATTACAAAAGACATATTTACAATGATATGTTAACTGTTAATAAAAAAAATTTTCAAAGTCGTTTACGCATCATTATTTATAAGCTGGGTCTTAATTATGAGGTACTATTTTATGAGAATGACGGCTTTTTAAACATATAGACAGAAAATTATAGACCTCTACTATAAATTTTTTTATAACATTTATAAGCATGTTATCGGGTATTACGTATTAGTGCACTATGGTACTGTACATTTATAAAATACAAAGCTCTTTCAAGTTGTACTACTATTCATTTAGAGAGAATTTATATAATTGCATTTATAGGACATACGGACGTTTAGAGGATATATGACGTATCAATTAAGTGTATGAATTCTTTCTTGTTATTCGTTTTCAGTCAATTATAGAGGAAAGAAAGATTAGGTTTAGTAAAGTTTGAAATTAACCAATTAGATACACTCGTTTTCAGCTTCAGCAGTCGCTACAATAGTAAAATCAAGAATGGTTTATTAAATTAATAATTTTATCATATTTAAATATATATATACTGTACAATTCAATCATTATAATTCTTGTTTAATGAAAATTTAAAGAAAATAAAGTAAATTAATAAAAATCTACAAGGCTTTTATTAATCTGAAATACCTCATATTCCTTTATCGAAAAAGATGAAGATCTATTATAATAATTACTTCTAATTGGAATTTCATATACAACTAGAAGATGCAGATATAGGTGGATTCGCCACCTAGTTAGAATTGTTGTAGCTAGGGATAGTAAGTGTTTTAAAACATAATAGTTTAAATTAGTTTTAAATCGCTTTAAAATAATTTTTGTTATTTTAAAACAATTATATAATTTTTATTATTAAGTCGTAATTAATATTATAATATTATTGTTATAATAAAATCTAAATTTCTGAAATTTCTAACTACTACCGTATCGCACTGCTTATAGTACCCGGATATTATTTTAGGGGTATGATATTAGCGGTCTTTTGTATGGAAAATCAATAAAGCTATATAAGGCAGATTCTTTTCTCTACGTAATCATTACCTAATTTAAAAGCTCGATTAAATGCGCTCGGCAAAATCAAACAAAAAATTTGATTGTCAAATACTTGATCAATCGAATATCAAATAGCTGACTTTAAATCAAATTATACCGATATATAATTTAAAATTATGTATCGGTATATTTTGATTTAAAGTCAGTTATTTGATATTCGTATTTAACCCCCTTTCTATTTTTTTTGTCGGCATATCTCTGATCATTGCCATATATATGTATAATTGTTCATGTGTATTT